GGTCTTGACTCCCAAGGTAATTTAACATAAACATTGAACTGCTTGGAGAGACCTATCCATGCAGCTCTCTTTTTACTGTTCATTGACTACAAAACAAACTACTGCATTCTGAATCAGTATCTGGCCTGCTGCCTCTGGACATGTAGTAGCTTATCAGCTGGCCAGCACATGCGTGGGTGGAGTCAGCAGGCCGGGCCCTAGGAAAAGAAGTTGGCCTGCTGTCACTGAAGATGGCAGCAGTGGCAGAGGGCAGCCCAAGTCTTTGGGTCCCATTCCCACCTCTTGTGGGGTGGGGCAAGTGCCTCAAGACTTGGGACTTGAGGCTTGGGATTCATGACTTGATATCAAAGACATGAACTTGGGTCCCTTGACTTGCCAACACCCCTGATAGAAATAATACCTTATCTGGAGAAATTCTGAAATTCAGTCATCTAAATTAATCTCTGAGGCACACAATTCTGACTGGACCATACTTCTATTAGAAATACAGACTAAACATAGCTGTGTGCCTTAAAATATATATTACAATCATAATAAAGCCATGCTCATTCAGCACCCCAATATAAATGCAGATTACTTTTAAAACTGTGTCCTACAACCTGTTTGTTCAATCAGTTGTTTGCAGGATAGATACAAAACACTATGGAGTTCAGGCTTAACCACACATGACAACTTGGAATGATTATTAACATAATCATCTGGGCAACCAAGATTCTAATCTGTTTACTGCTTGCTTTTTCTTTGATCAAAAATGGCAAATCTTACAGACATGCTATATGAATAAGATATGCTATATTTTTAAAAAAAGAAATCATGTATTTTCTATCATAGTCTATTTTCAAAAGAAACTAACAAGGTTACTAGAAAAGAACTTTTGAGTAGTGTATGACCCACATGCTGCTTTCAACATCTGCCAGCTTGGAAATTTGGATGTAAGCTTCTTTTCTTATTGGTGTAAATGAATATTTCCATCTGGCAGGAATGTCAACATTCTGACTAGCAAATTCCAGCCAGAAGAAAATTGGAGATAACGTTACAAAGATGGTGAGCCTCACCTCATTTGTTCTGGCTTTGAATCTTGCCATTCCAGGTCTGATCCATGGCATTTTACTTAGTGCAATAGTTATTGTATCAATCCTGTAACAATAACAAAAAAGAACAAACATACAGCAGATGCTGGAGCTAAAACAAGCCATCAGAAAGAATCATAAACTAGCTTTCCACTGATCTTCATCAGGCTAGACACCACAAAGCTGGAGGTGGTACAGAAGAAATCCAAAAAACCCAAATACCATGGTCAGATGTCCAGCAGGCCAGGCACATTTATTGAAAACAAGTTTCAAAATTCCCGTCATTCAGCATCTCCCAGTAGACCTGTATTGAAAAACAGCTCCTTTTTGGCAGGGAATACAGGTGTACAGAAACATGGCAAAACCCATACCAGAGAGTTTGGCATAAGATTTAGTCTATGTTTTAGATAAATGGATTACAGTCAGATTGAAAGTACTGCCTAGTGGTTGGAAGAAGATGTTGTCCTTAATTTAGGCCACACATCCGGCCATGCTTTTTTGTTTGTTTCCTATTCATGCCCCCCCAACTCTGTGGCATCCTTTGCATGAAGATCTATGTGGGGTCAAAAGCTAAGCTATCTCTGTGATTTCTTTAGTGGACTAATAAAAGTATCAGCCACCCTTACCTTCATATTGCACACAAGGACCACATGGATTTCCCCCCCTCTCTTCGGTATTACCAGATAAATTACCCATTATGAAAATACTATAAAGAATGTCTGGGGTCAGGGTAGACAAGCAATGGTAGAGCAGGCAAGCAGTGTGCAACCTTGATATGATGGAGTAAAAGGTTTAGGCAGTAACAGAAATTATTTGATGTTCACAACAGATGCTTAAATGGGTGAAGAATGTTACTCTGTTTCAAAACCATGAAACAAGATGGTTATGAATGATATTAAGTGGATTCTTCAAGTATGAAGTAGCATTTTCAGAGAACCATCCATATCCTCAAAAGTGTATGTTTAGATAGGAAGGAATAGATTCCATTAGAAGAGTAATGTTTCATGTTTGCAGTTTCATTCCCTATGTAGTGAGGACTCCAAGGTATTCTGCAAGTGCTACCCAGAATATTTGTTTCCTTGAAGGACACTGTGAGAAACCTGGGGTGTTTACCTGACATATGGTTTATTTACATGTTATACACATGTATAGCAATATTTCAGTAGTATCTAACACTGGCATATTTTATGAAAATTTGAACTTCACAAAAAATGTGTGTATGTATTATGTGCCATCAAGTAACTTCAAACTTATGGGTCATGGGATTTTTATGGTATATGAGGCGCTCAAGAATTGTTTACATCCTGCAATGAGTTTCCATGAAACCAACAATTATGCCCACTATACCACACTGGCCCTCAGAAAATACGGAGACCAAAAATATTAAATACAGTACACAGATATGGAAACAGACTAGCAAAGTAGAGCATGAACCACCAGTTGGTTCGTTTATTGGCCAAACAGGTGTTTGGTGCATCAAAGCCCTGCTTCCTTCAGGCAGCAGCCAGAGAAGGTGGAGTAAGGAAGCCAGACTGCCAAATACTTGCCTGGCTGATAAATGAACTGGCATGAATTTTACATACAGCATTTTTCCTGTAGACTTCCAAGGGTCAGCTCACAGCTTTGATCACTAGCTATGCTAGCCAGGATTTTGGGAGTTCTAGTCAAATAACGTACGGGGACCCAAGGTTGGGAACCACCGAGTTAGACTAATTCAGTATTTCAGACCTTGGGATGGTCTTTCTGTGGCTTTTCAGCTGTGGATAGATTACAAATCTCATCACCCCGCCATTGGCTGTGCTGGCTAGGGCTTATGGTATTTGTAGTCCAGCAAACAGCAGGAGACATGTTGTCTACTGGCAGCTCTCCAGGATTTTCGGTAGGGTTCCTTTCCAGCTTGCTGTGTAGATGGGGAGGGACTGGATCTGGAACCTTCCACAGGCAAAAACCTCTCTTCGCCACCGAGGTACAGTCCCTCCCAGGAACATAAACTGGACTTCCAGTCACCGCACAAGGTGTTTCGGGGTGGCCCTGCCTGAAGGACGGAGGGCTGCGATGAGTCAGACCTCCCTCTGCTTCTGAGCCAGAGCAAAATGGATTGACGTGGTTGGCGTGGATCCTGCTCCGCGCCTCCCTTTCGCTTTGCGGATTCATACACGGTCAGGGCGCAGAGACGTCTGTCCTGTCCCAGGAGGGGCCTCTTCACGCCGCCCTTCCCTCCTGGCTCGAGGCAACGCCGCGCAGTTCCGCAGTCAGCGGCCGGCCGGGTCTCCTCCGGAGCCGCCTTGAGACCCGCGGCCCCGCCTTGTCCACCGGGCGCGTCAACAGCGACAGGAGCTCCCACCGCACCCAAGCCCCGCCCTCCTGGCGGCTGCGGTCAACAGGCTGCTCGGCTCCGTCGGCCAATCAGCGGGCCGACGGGGCTCGGGGGCGGGGCGCGCATTGAACCTGCAGGAATCGAGCATCCCCAGAGAGCGCAGCATCAGCACCACAAGCCGCGGGAGGAGGCACGACGCGTCCCTTCTCCCCTGCCGGGCAGGAACCGCAACCCGGAGCGTCTCCAATGTCACGGCCAGCCCCTTCCCACGGCGGGCGGACCTTAGCAAGCCTTTGAGGCACCGAGAGGTAAGCCGCAGCCTTTCCATTGTCTTATGGCATTCCTCACTCCGCATCCCTGCTCCCTATCTCTCGCCTTTTGCATTTGCCTTCCCCCCTTTTTTGCAGCGCCCCCTCGCATGAGTGGCCCGTATCCGCGGGAGAGGCCTCGGGAGGCGCGGTTTCTTTCGGATCCCGTTTGCTCTGCATCCAATGCAGAGGGCGATGGCGCATCTTTTCTCCTCCCTTGCGGCTGGCTGGCTTTCAAGGAAGGACAATGAGCCAGTTTCCAGGCAGTGCCGTTTAGAATTCACTAGGGAAGCAATCCGGGGTGTTTGTGTGTCTGTATGTCCATCTAGTGGAAGTCTCCTGCATCTCGCCACCATTTCTGCCTTTGGGATGTGGGGGGAAAATCAGGAAAACCGAGGAGACAACACAAAAATCCTGTGTTGTATTTTTCTTTAAAGTGGAATGCACAATATATGGGTGTGTGTGTGTGTGTGATGTCATGGCCAGCACTTTTGGGTGGGTGGGGGAAAGAACAGGCAGACTGGACAAAAGATGCTGATGAAGGAAAGAGACAGTCTTTGGAAAAAGAAAATGTTTCCTGCTAGTTATGTACTATTCAGATTCCAAAGCTAAATGCTTTGTCTCCGGTTTTCTGCTGTCCCAGAGACAAAACATACACTGTCAAGGCCTTTCTTGGCTGTCTAGCCTCCCATGCTTTTGCCATTTGCTTATTTTTCTTGATTCCTTGGGGCAGCCGCAATGCTACTTATCAGCTGTTTGATGACAAAATAAAGAGTCCCTCTTTATTGTCAGTGTCAGATTAATTGTTCTGTGGACTTCTGAAAGGGATCCAACCAGGGAAAAGAAATGCATTCCTCATAAACACCACCCACCCCACCCCATATGTCCCTGCACCAATAGCTGTGACATAAGGCCACGGAGAGAGTGCAGAGTCATGGAGACCAGGCAAGGGCCTGCCAATCAGTTGCATCTCTCTTCTGAACTGCCGTGGCATCCCATAAGTCAGAATTCTTAGTTTGGAACCCAAATCTTTAATGAAATAGGATTTGAAAAATAAGTTTTGTCGCCGCCCTTCCTTCCTCGCTCGAGGCAACGCCGCGCCGTTCCGCAGTCAGCGGCCGGCTGGGTCTCCTCCGGAGCCGCCTTGAGACCCGCGGCCCCGCCTTGTCCACCGGGCGCGTCAACAGCGACAGGAGCTCCACCGCACCCAAGCCCCGCCCTCCTGGCGGCTGCGGTCAACAGGCTGCTCGGCTCCGTCGGCCAATCAGCGGGCCGACGGGGCTCGGGGGCGGGGCGCGCATTGAACCTGCAGGAATCGAGCATCCCCAGAGAGCGCAGCATCAGCACCACAAGCCGCGGGAGGAGGCACGACGCGTCCCTTCTCCCCTGCCGGGCAGGAACCGCAACCCGGAGCGTCTCCAATGTCACGGCCAGCCCCTTCCCACGGCGGGCGGACCTTAGCAAGCCTTTGAGGCACCGAGAGGTAAGCCGCAGCCTTTCCATTGTCTTATGGCATTCCTCACTCCGCATCCCTGCTCCCTATCTCTCGCCTATTGCATTTGCCTTCCCCCCTTTTTTGCAGCGCCCCCTCGCATGAGTGGCCCGTATCCGCGGGAGAGGCCTCGGGAGGCGCGGTTTCTTTCGGATCCCGTTTGCTCTGCATCCAATGCAGAGGGCGATGGCGCATCTTTTCTCCTCCCTTGCGGCTGGCTGGCTTTCAAGGAAGGACAATGAGCCAGTTTCCAGGCAGTGCCGTTTAGAATTCACTAGGGAAGCAATCCGGGGTGTTTGTGTGTCTGTATGTCCATCTAGTGGAAGTCTCCTGCATCTCGCCACCATTTCTGCCTTTGGGATGTGGGGGGAAAATCAGGAAAACCGAGGAGGCAACACAAAAATCCTGTGATGTATTTTTCTTTAAAGTGGAATGCACAGTATATGGGTGTGTGTGTGTGTGATGTCATGGCCAGCACTTTTGGGTGGGTGGGGGAAAGAACAGGCAGACTGGACAAAAGATGCTGATGAAGGAAAGAGACAGTCTTTGGAAAAAGAAAATGTTTCCTGCTAGTTATGTACTATTCAGATTCCAAAGCTAAATGCTTTGTCTCCGGTTTTCTGCTGTCCCAGAGACAAAACATACACTGTCAAGGCCTTTCTTGGCTGTCTAGCCTCCCATGCTTTTGCCATTTGCTTATTTTTCTTGATTCCTTGGGGCAGCCGCAATGCTACTTATCAGCTGTTTGATGAGAAAATAAAGAGTCCCTCTTTATTGTCAGTGTCAGATTAATTGTTCTGTGGACTTCTGAAAGGGATCCAACCAGGGAAAAGAAATGCATTCCTCATAAACACCACGCACCCCACCCCATATGTCCCTGCACCAATAGCTGTGACATAAGGCCACGGAGAGAGTGCAGAGTCATGGAGACCAGGCAAGGGCCTGCCAATCAGTTGCATCTCTCTTCTGAACTGCCGTGGCATCCCATAAGTCAGAATTCTTAGTTTGGAACCCAAATCTTTAATGAAATAGGATTTGAAAAATAAGTTTTGTGTGTGTGTAAATACATTCAAAATGTCTGCCTTTTTGACAGTACATCTCTGCACATTCTGTGGGTTCATCTTCTTTATGGGTTGTCAGGATCGTTAGGGCTCCTGGCAAAATCTTCCAAAGCAGGTTCATCTTCTTTATGGGTGTGTTAGGGCTCCTGGCAAAATCTTCCAAAGCATCTTCAAAGAAACCTGTGGCATAGTCGATATTCTATTTCTTTTTTAAATGCTATGCTGTATGATGAAGATGGAACAGTACTATTGGTAATTAAAGAAAGATGACTGTTCTGTCATCTGACACATTTGAGGGGGAAGAAGCTGTTAAGTAGGCGAAAGCCTGCAGATCCCTTTAGAAAGAAAATAAAAGACCTGTTCAGATGTGGGTGGAGGACCTTGTCAGCCATTTTACAGGGTTTAGAGCCCTGCACTGCTGTAGTAACAACAGCATTGGATTACATGTTAACACAGTAACATCCCAGATTCCTGCTATGTCTTAGCTGGAACTGTTTATTTACATTTTACAAGAGCTAGACCAGCCTTTTATCAAGAAAAGAAACACATTTGATGGTATCTTGATTTAAACTTTTGGGAAAAAATCTTTGAGTAACAACAGTCATGTGCTGGTTGGAAGTATATGAGTTTATCAGGTGTAAAGGAGATTGTGTATATCATTAAAAACAAACTAAACTAAGGTTAAGTCTAGCATTCATCTTGAGCATTACAAGGTCCTCCACCAGCCTTCTGAAAATCCCAGGCACAATGTAATTGCAAAGCTTGATGTGACGGCTTCTTGCTGTCAGCAAGAAATGATGCATTTTCTAGAAAAAAATTCCAAAGACAAAAGGGCCTGTGGGCATTTACTACATGGAAATATATTGTGCTTCTGGAATGAAGAGCAGTGTGCAGATTGTACTGTGGCCTGCTTGGAAGTCACTCGAGGCCATCTTAGGAACAGCATGACTGCCAGCAATATGGCTGAATAGAATAACTTGTGTTAGCAGCCCTTGTTCCCCAACCCCCAGCAAGAATCATGTTTTTGTCAAAGCACGCTGGGAAGAGTAAACATTTTTTAAAAAGGGGGTTGTAAATTCTAATTTGGAAGTAAACATGGAAAGAAATACCATTATTTCCTTATGTTAATATGTGCTTGTCATAGTGTTTCTGGGCAGGGCAGGCTGTTGCAAAGAGGAAAATGGATTTGCTGCAATGTCTGTTCTTAAGAAGACATAACAACTATTAGATTCTCTCCTATCAGGAGATGAGCTGATTGCCTCAGAGGTGTAAGCCTTGTTTAACAAGGTGTATGATGAGGAAAAGGGGAGTGATAGCTAACATACCAAATCTTACATGAGCTGAGTAATCACCATTGACAATATAAACTGCTAAATGCCTTACTCTGAGATAAATGGGTACTGCAGGCTTAATATTCATCTCCCCACATTTTAAATGTTTACTGAAATGGCCGCAGGCTTTTGAGTGGTATTTGGATACTTTTGGATGAGGCAAGTGCATATACATCCCCTGATGTCTTCTGACAAGGTTATCTAGTTGTCCTGCTTTGTATTTGATTCTTAGAGTAGCTAACTATCTTATACATCTGCCTCTTTCAAGGGCACAGACGGGTTGCAAAGAGTTTCTAAAGATCAGAAGTTCCACACATTTGATATTTCATTTGTAAACCAGAATGCAGAGGGTTTCTCTTGACTCAGCTCCAGTTTCCAGTAATGATTCCTGTGACGTGCTATTATTACTTAAATCTTAGGTTTCTTTTAATGTATCTGCTCATATTGCAAATTCAGAATGTTGTGGAAAACTAATTTAATAACAATGGTGTGGAATGAGGAAATAAATTTACTGCTGAAATGGTGGGAGGAAGGAGTACTAGCAGTTTATGGTCTGAGTAGCAGTGGCACTTTGGCTTCCATTTTTGATTGAGCCCTGTTCCCAGGACCTCAATGCGCTCTTGATTATGACAAGATATAATTTCCAGATTTAATTTTCACAACTGTTATGATATATTTTCCTTTTCTCTTGTATGCCTTTGTCTTGGCTGCTTATAAATTAGATTTCTTCACCATTTCCTTACACACATTAAAAATTTTTTGCCTGAAAGATCCACAGAGATTGTGTCTCTAGGAGTATTCGTTGAACAGACTTAATACATAAACAATGAAATCAAAAGGTCAGGTTGGAAAGAAAAAGCAAACATGTAGCAAAAGGCAATGAGGATATAAGGGGGGCATTTTTCATAGCATCAGGCCTCTGGTCCAGAAAGCTAATATTATTTAAGCAGTAACAAGCCCCAAGGCAGAAAGATCTTTGCTGTCCTTGAAAATGTATACATAGAGGTGTCAGAAACTGAGCCTTTCATATTGTATAGGCACGGAATGTGCTCTCCCACTGAACCAAAGCCCCTGCTCAAGTCTCTAAAGAATGGAGAATGCAAGCTGTAAACTATGGGGACAAATGAATCATAGTCTGAATGAGTCAACGGTATGAAATGGTTGCAGAAGCAAAACAGATGTTCTTTTGATTTGCATTGACAACTATATTACCTGCACGACAGGAGGCCACTCAGTACAGGTTGGATCTCTTCTTAAATGTTATGTTCAGCCCCAGTATATTTTTTGCAAAGGCAAAAAAGCAAACTGAAAACAATTCTGATGATTGCATCAATCAGATGTCAGATTTTTATTTTCAGATTTTTTTAAAAAAAAACCTACTGTTAAGAAAAAGGAGAATTATGATTGATTGAGATGACTTTAGGGATGGAAAAGAATCAGTGATTGAAATGGCAATAAATTAGATTGAGAGTAAGAATGACTTAGCAATGGAGAAAATCTTTAAAGGAAAATATAAGATTTGCAGTAAATGTATAAATGTATAGAAAACCTTCCTGAGGTTTTCACTGAAAGACTGGAAGTACTGGTGTTGGAGATTATTTGCTACTATGGGGGGATTCAATTAGAAAACCATTTCAGTCGATACATAATTTTGTCACCTTATTCTACACCACTCTCTTGTCTATTTTTAGTTAGAATGCACTTTGGCCACTCCTCATTATGTCTTGCATTATGGTAAAGTAGCGAGCAAGAAAACCAGCACTGTGCAACAGATTTTAGAGTTCAGATTCATCTCTGGATAAAATGAAAGGAGAGGTTCTAAATTCTGTGATTCGGAAAGCTAATGGTATATTGTGCATTGTCAAACCAGTGCAGAACTGGCAAGAACCTAAATATAAGTAGCCTACATAACATGTTTAATATGATTATGATTGCCATGGTGAGTATACTTACTGAGGACAAGGCTGGTCCTCAGTAAGTATACCCAGTGACACCTGGTGCCCTTGTAGCTGGTGGGGCCAAAGATACTGCATAGATGGGCGGAGCTGGAGAGACATACAGAGCTGGAAGCAAATGTGAGCATTCATACATATCCAAGGTACATACAGGAAGGAGGAAGCATTCCCAGATACAACTAGTAGGAAGGGACCAGAAATGGGGGCTCAGATTTTCTGCTTCACAAGTAATAGTATACTGGCTGGGTGTAGCCTGAGCCTGAATTGTGGCAGTACCCAACTTGCCCAAAGAGATGGGCCGCCACCAGCCAAAATTATTTCTGTCCTGAGGAAATAACAAAATGGGTCCTTCCAGCCACACACACAATGTGCAAAACTGGTAGCTGAATGTTGTTGCTATCTCAGTGCTACTGTGTCTGTTTTGGCAGAGGGTAGATTATGTGGTGCATGTATAACTCTGTCCTCCAGCACCTCACCGTCACATCCCCTGCTTCAGTCTTATGTCGGGTGCGCCCCTTTTGCTGCCTAATGGCATGGCCAACTCTGACTCACGGTGAACGTTCCTGAATACAGTGAGCCTAGCCATGATTTTTTCCATAATACTCTCTGCATTATTCTTCCTCACAAGTGAACTGGGACCACCC